CGCGCTCGCAAATAATAACGCTGCATAAGAAGCTACTTCAGGCTGTGTTAAATGGGTGTGATACAAGGCCTAACAGAGGGGGTAAACCATGCGTGAACACTCCTGAGTCGGAATACAGCGGGAGGTTTTCCTAATTCTTCCCATCCTGCTGACAGCGCGTGTGCATGCCCAGCATCATTTTGTGTGTGTAGTATACTCAAGCAAAACTTCCAAAACAAATGATCCTATTACACAGTGATGAACAACAAACCTTGACACATAATGTCTGACCTGGCGCACAGTGCGGCCTACAGGCCAAAGAGCGCTCCCAAAAAGTAACCACCACGCTGACACCCAATTTCCTCCGTCCTCGTCCTAATTTCCCCATCCAGCGATCGCGATTCATCGAGTTTTCCATTATCAGGGCCTCCCTCACCATTGTTGGGTTGTTTTTTTTCGCTTCCCCCTCAGGGACCGTTATAGTGGAGGTATCATATCAAGAAGACAATATAAAGGATGGAATGAGAGAACCTCAGTCTGTCTTGCGCTCCTAATTTCCCCTCCGCAGGTCCTTTTTCTGTTCATAATTGCGCAAGTAACCACACGCGCCTTCTCCACTTCAATCCCATCGCTCGACTTCATCCTTATTTGTATCCAGTACCGTCCCTGTCCAGGCAAATACCAGAGTCCGCCTGCTGGAAGACCGCACCCCCATTATTGATGGGCATAACGCAGTCCTCTCTCTCTCTCCTCCCATCTGTACTCACTGCTTTCTCCCAAACTCCTGGGCTGTTGAAAGAAAGTGAGGACAGCACCCCAGGTATCAAACATTAAGGGGGAGAACCAGAGGGCAAGGGGAAGAAGGAAGAACTAATCTACAAGGTGAGGGAGGACGGAGCCCTGTGTATGACCATGAGCGGTCCAGGTGCGCACCCTGTCCTGGCAGCAGGTAAGTGGTTTTTTGTCTCCAGCTAGTGCTGGTATTTACCCAGTGGGATCTGACTTGCTGTTTAACTTTAACTCCAATGTTGAGCGCAAAGAGGCAGTGCATTTTGTAAATAACATGCCGCCTACCCTGATCAAACTGTCCTAAAGGTACGCAAAGCTCTTTCATAAGATTAAAGCTTTGAGTGTGAAGGGGAATAAACGAGACTTGTATTGTAAAAAGAAAAGGTGTGGTAAAAAAAAAAAAAACCTCTTTGTAATCCAACCTTCGCGCCACCCGACCTACAGGCCCAGCAAATCTATATGCTTGAGTTGAGAACCACAGCAATGCAGTCACCTGAACACTTGCTGCTCTTGTGCTGCAATGAGCTGTGAAATACTGCTACAATACAATAAGCCTGTGGTTCAGAAAGTTACGAAACGCGCTCAGGATGTAAGTAGAAGAGCCCGCTGAGCGTCGTGGGGGGCAGCCACACCGAATGTTAAAGGCTTGAAGCCACATTGCTAATCTCAACCCCAAAATGACGAGCAGAGAGCCAAGGGCCTAACACAACTGGTCAAGGAGCCGCATTCACGAATCACTCTATAGGTGACTAGTAGCTGATTCAGCATGTATTTGAATTTGGGTGTCTGTGTAGGGGAACGGGCGATGCTGGAGGATTCGATCAAAACTACATGGTGCTTCTAACCCTCCACGTCCAGTACAACGGAAATAACTCAGCCCATATTTTTCTATTTGTGTTCAGAACGGCAAATGTACGATCACAGAGGTTGTAAGGTGTCAGAGACAGCGGGCTGATGGGTGTATTTTGTCCTCCTTGTGACAGGTATGCAATGACATGACCAATGAGTGGTGGCAGAAGACCTCTCTGATGAAACTAGTCGCCCTGTTAAAGGGTTTAGCAAACGAACAATGTCAGTTCAGCTTGCCAGTTTATTAAATACTTGCTTGTAAAACAACTAATGCAGTGTAAATGCGAACAGCCATCGCGGGAATGGGACACTCTGGCCCTTCTTGAAAGGTGCTACTAAGCGCTCACGTTAAGAGAGAGAGAGAGTGAGATAGAGAGAGAGAAGCGTGTCCTGCCCCGGCTCTCTCTCCTCTGCTGCTGATAGCTAAAAGGTGTGAGTCATGTGACACAGTTTAAAAGCAGTCTCTTCCTTGCTCCACAGCTGTCAATCACTGTTCCCTCAGCCAACAGCACAGCTTGCAGTCGCTGTGGCTTGGGTTGGGAGGGGGGGTGTGGGGGGGGCAGGATGTCGTCGGGGTAGGCAGTGCGGGATTGGTTGCTCGGCTTAAACTGCGTGAGACGTGATTGAGGGAAGGAAGGGTGGAGGTGTCATGTTTGAGTGCCACAATAGCAAAAACCACAAATAGATACACAGATTTTGCTCAGAATAGAGTTTAGATTGGTGTTACTGATTATTAGGATTATATTAACAGGCTGAACTTTGTCTGACGACAAAGAGCAACAGTTCAACTCACAGCTGTGAAAACAACAGGAATACTGAAAAAGTTTGCTACGTGTGTGTGTGTGTGTTTGTGTTGCCAGTGTTTGACTCTAACATAATGTGAACTTGTGTGGCCCACAGGCAGTGTATCTCTATATCAGTTTGTGTGTGTATGAATGTATGACCTTTAATGTGTCTCTGTGTGTGCATATCCTGTGTGAGGTTACCTGTTCTGACTTTTTGCAAGCCATTCTGAAGGCATGCCCACATACGTCAGGTTGTGTGTGTGTGTGTGT